TCCCACTTGTTTTCATTTGCCTCTTTCTCATTAACAACAAAAATAACAAAAATCTGTTCAACTAGGAGTCTGGTCAATGTAGGTCTTAGAGTATTCTGTTTATTTTTTATAAACATTAGGTATACTCCTTTTATCATTTAAAATTTTTTTTAATCATATGCTGTAACGAACTGTATTATCTGTTCTGTTTGTATGATGTCCTTTATTCCTTTTCTTCATTATGCCTACATAAGTAAATGTCTTGATTGTGGTGGACTACTTTTCCAAAATTTATTCCAGAATTGTGTATTAGCATGTCAAAGTGAGGAAGTAAGTTCAGAAACAATATCAATCTGAATAACTAAATGTGGTTCTACTTAAAAATTCATTTGTAATCAAGCCCAGTGAGTGCATGACTCTAATCCTAGCAACCCTGTAAGCTGAGGTAGGAGGATCACAACTTCAACTTAGCAAGACCATGTCTCAAGGTAAAAGCCATGAAAAAGTACTGGGAATGTGGCTCCGTGGTAAAGTGCCCCTTGGTTAAATCTCCAGGACCTAAATAAATAAATGAGTCAGATGTTGGAAGTTCCGACTATATTTTCCCATGGTAATGATGATAAAGTGGTGGTCAGACCAAATCCCTCAAAGTACATTGAACAATCTGCACGGAAACCTTTCACATCCTGTGGCAGAGCACAGTTCTGAGGCTAGAGTTCTCGTCAGGCTTTTGCCAAGCATTCTTTTACCTATTCCCACCCCAGAGTCAGAGTTTTCTTTAGGAAAAACCAGTGAGGAAGAAGCATGGTAACCTTGGGTGTCATCCCTTAGGCTGCCCCTACCTTCCTGCTTCCTCAGGGGTAGTCAGCACCTGCCGGCTGAGATGATGTAGGTAGGACAGGCTGTGAATTCAGCAGAGCCGCATCCATTGAAGAACATTATGAGGATAATTAGGAACATAACAAGAATGCTTGGCTGATGTTAACTAACCTGCAATGAGAAGTGGAGCTACTGAACTGGAGTCAAGAATTTGGCAGTCCTTTGAACTGACTTAATTACAAATCGGCCTTTTAAATGAGTATTCCACAAGTCAGCTGTATCCACTGGTGTTGGGTACCTGCATAATAATCACAGTCAGGAAGGGAGCCATCAACCTGAGGATTAGGTATTTGACTATGGATAAGCTGATGCTTAATATATGAATATCTAATTTAAAATAAAAAGCAAACAACACGCTTGGAAAGATTATTCCAGATGGATAACAATATTAAAAGCATTGCATCACGGGGTAGATGTTTCCATCTTGGGGAAGAGTTTCTGACTTCTTGTCCTGTAAGATTGTACAATGTCCAGGACAATATAAGCTCTGAAAGTCTCCCACTCTGAATTGGCGGAATTGATGTGTATACTTGGCTGTAATTCTATACAATGTGGAATTAGGTGGGCAGGAGTTGTGCCTGATAAAGAACTTAAGGGGAAGTTATTCAATATGATTGAATATGGGGCTCAATATGATTTCCTTTCATTTTTCTGCCTTTCGTGCCAGTGATAGATCCTCAGCATTGCTGGCAAGTTGAGATTCTTAAAGCTGAGCAAACAAGGGCTGGCGATCTTTGTAAGGCTAAAGATAATACAGACTCCTACGGCAGTGCCAGAGTATGAAATACTGGAGAATGGAAACTGCCACGGTGGGGCCTTCTGGGTTGTCTACTTCATGGAAATAAATTGTGAGCAAATTGGGATCAGCAAACCCACATTTCACACCCAAGGAACCCTGATTATCTGGGGTGGTTAGTAGACTGATAGCTGGGAACTTAACCAATAGGTCCCAAGAAAGAGGTAAGATTCACGTGTTTTTTCAGCTTGGGTTTTCTTTTTATCACCTGTTTTTGAGTATTCTTTCTTGAATTCCCTTAGCTGTCCTTATTTCTTCTCCATTAGCTACCACCAAATCTGCTACTCCCAAGGACTGCTGACAAAAGAGATGGGCTTATGTGTTAGTGAGCTTTTTGTTGGTGTGACCAAAATACCTAACAAGAACAACTTACAGCAGGAAAAGTATATTTCGTCTTATGGTTTCGTAGGTCTCAGTCCATGCTCAGCTGATTCCATTGATCAGGGCCCACGCTGAGGCAGAATATGGTGGTGACAGGGCATGGCTGAGGAAAACTACTTGGCTCTGGTGGCTAAGAAGCAGAGAAAGAGTAAGGGAGGAGCCAGCAGGAACAAGATGTAATCCTCATGGGCACACGTTCAGTGTTCTACCCATCTGCAGTAACCAGTAGTCCTTTCAAATTATTAATCCATCAAATATATCAATTCACTTGTCAGATTAGAGCTCTCAAAATCCGGTCATTTACCTCTGAACACCCCTGCATTGTCTGACATGAGTTTTTTCAGGGGAACACTCCTATCCAAATCATAACAGCTTTCAGGTCACTGTGTAATTTACTGCAAATCCAATTCTTTCCCCTTGGAGGAATTAGAAGAGGACTGTACTTACTGCTTGGGTGTGCCCAGCAATGTTGACTGCTGTTTTGACCACTCTCCAGTCCTACATTTGTATCACTTTGCCTTAGTCACGCCATCTTGCAGGCTTATGGGTTCCTTATCTTTGAAGTAAGAGAGTGGATTTAGGTGTTCTCTTTTGCTACTTCTGCTTATAGAGTCTGTGACTCAACTGTAACTCGGCATGAACAACTGCCTCTTGAGATTGTATAGAGAATGTATACTGGGTAAACCAGAAAGGGAACTCCGAGTTCTCTTAGGCCTGGTTTCTCATTTCATAGGTGAAGATGCTGAGGCTCAGGGCAGGTAAGTGGGATACTCATGGGTCGTGATCTGTAAGTTTTATATGGATAAAGATACCTTTTTCTAGAGTTTGCTTTTCATGGTTACTGTTTAGCATTTACATGACTACTTGAGAAATAATTGGGTACTTACATTTACAGATTTCATACTATCAAATGAGGCCTTCTTGGATTTCTTCTTATTTACAAGAACAACTTACAGCGGGAAAAGTTCATTTTACCTCATGGTTTCATAGGTCTTAGTCCATGCTCCACTGACTCAATTGATCAGGGCCCAAGCTGAGGCCTCTTGTAATGCTTGCTTTTCACTTTTAGTTTAACAAGGGGCCATCAGAGGTTATGTAAATTCCTTGAAATTGTGTTTCTTTAAAGAAATGATTATGGATTGAACTGGGCCCCAAATTGATCAGCTCAGGGATTGACCAGGGTGAGTGGGAGTTCTGTTGAGGTATCCAAGAGTTCCTCCTTTTTGCCGGAGATGGGATCTATTCAACATCTGGGGGATGTTTGCATATTAGCTGGCTCCCACGTTGACAGTGCATTTTTTTTTTTTAAACTTATGCTGACTCTCTGCCTCCTCTTCATTTCTTGCCCTTGAACTATTTTCCAAAGTCACATTCCACCATGCAAACAATATTTTGAAGCTCTGATTTCAATCTATGCGATCTGGGCTCATTCCCTTGTTCAAGAACCTTCCAGTATCTGTTGATGGTCTGTAAACGGCCAGATGTTCTAGACACTGAGGGTACATCCATTAACAAAGCAGGCAAGCGTGGAGGCTTCGTGGAGCTTGTGTTCTAGAACAGTGGGACAGAAGTAGAATAGCTAATCAGAGACAGCAATTATCACTGCCAACAACCCTTGAGCGCTTTCTATGTGCTAATCAGTAATGATTTGCAGGAGTTAACTTACTTAAAGGCTCACAATAACTTAATGAGCTAGACATTATTTTTTATCCTCTATTTTGTAAATGATGAAATTGTGTATGGTGATTTTCCTAGAGTCTTTCTAACTAGTAGTTGATGGAAGTGGAATTTGTGGAATTTGAAACCAGATGTTGTACTCAAGGTCTGTGATCATAACCACCTCAATCTATAGTGTTTTTGAGAGAGAGAAATGTCACTACAGGAGTCCTTTGTGATGCCTTGGTTGCTGCTAAAGTTATAGAAAACAAGTTATTCAAATGGCCAGTCATTTCTGCAATTATTTTACTAATTCTTTTTCTTCTGATCTCTTTCACATATGTATCCTTATTTCGTTTACTGTCTTGGTCTGCACTAAAATGAACTTCCATGAGGGTAGAAATTTCTGAAGCCTTGGTTCATTGCTGTATCCCTTTTATCCAGTATCTGGCATTACTCTCAGTAATTATTGTATATTGTTCAATATTGACTACTATACGAATTTTTCCCATATTTACATTATCTCATGAAATGAAATACAGTTTGGGATTCCCTCCCCAAATATATACTCTCCCTCAAATCAATTTCTCCTTCTTCCCTCAAATCTCAGAGTAACCAGTCTGGTGAAGTTGGTGTTATCTTTTTCATGCTATTTTTTTTTTTTTTGTCTTAGTGTACATTCATCTACATCAGCCAGTATGTAGAACCATTTCCAGGCCTATCAGAGTTATTTATATAAATGGTAATTTAGCCTTCATGATTTAACATTGAACTATATGTAGGACCAAGGAACAAGTCCTGTACCCCTAGTACTCCTAGTAAACAGAGTGCCCCAAACTCACCTAGAGAAGAATTCCAAGATCCTTGATTAATTGAATTTCTTGTTTCAGTATTTAATATGCCAGATGGCAATTAAGCATTCATATCAAAGAGTGAGTCTGTGTTGGTTTTCTTGAGTAAGGTTTAAGAATTAGATGCACTTGCAGAATGTGGTATTGCAGGCCTATAATCCCAGCAACTTTGGAGGCTGAGGTAGGAGGACCCCCACATTCAAAGCCAGCCTCAGCAACATAGCAGCTTTATGAGAACCTCTTTCAAAAGTAATAAAATAGCTGGGGATGAGCTAAAGCACTTCTGGGTTTAATCCCCATTACATAAAAAAGAGAGAAAGAGCGAGCTAGGTAGCATTTAATATATCTGTGCTAGAAGATTGGTCATGTCTTTGCACTGTTCTCCAAGCAAGGTGTTCCTAATGCTCAGAGTTTCAGTAGCCTGCCATTTTTGGTAAAACTTTTTTTCCTTCCTTTAGTTGAGACGGGAGAAGATTGACCTTGAAAATACATTGGAACAAGAACAAGAAGCACTAGTGAATCGTCTCTGGAAAAGGATGGATAAACTTGAAGCTGAAAAGCGGTTTGTTTAGTCTTGCTCTTCAGTATGGGGTGTGGGTGTGGTTGTGTGACTGAAGGTGAACAATGGGACATTTGACTTCTTTGGGTGACACACATCATTATAATTTGCCAAAAGAAAAAAAAAGTCAAATCTGAAGTCTTCCTGTATTGGTCGCCTCTTTGTACTTTGTCCTCTTCCTCACTAGAATTTCTGTTCATTTGGTGTCATGAGGCAACAATAGAATTCTTTATGGTGCTGTTGTTCACCTTTGAATTGTTTTCAAGGTGGTTGTAATTGCAACTTTTCACCTTGGTGAACTGCTTACTGCGGCTGCTCTCCAAAGTACTTAGGATATACTGTGTGCTGTCAATTGTGATACATCTCTAAGAATTTCTTAATTAGGAAGGCTGAGACTTTAATAGAAGAATAACTATCTGTTTTAAAACCTACTGTAAAGAAATGCCTGTACATGCTTAAGGTGAAGCATCTTTCTTAAATGTACGTAGGGGTATGAACTATCACTCAACAACTAATGTTTATTAAATCCCTTTGTGCAAGATGCCAATAGACTTTCAGTTTTGTTTGTTTGTTTGTTTTTTTAAAGAGAGAAATTTTTTAATATTTAGTTTTCAGTTTTCGGTGGACACAACATCTTTATTTTATTTTTTTATGTGGTGCTGAGGATCGAACCCAGTGCCCCGTGCATGCCAGGCGACCGCGTTACCTCTTGAGCCACATCCCCAGCCCAGGCTTTCAGTTTTAATCACTGTACTTTGGGAGTAGTTGAGACAGGGCTTAAGAATAGTAGGAAAGTTCTGTCTGTGGGATGTGCATATAAGTATAAAAAAATGAGTATCTTGAAAGTATTAAATCACTTCACCGTAATCTTTTGTTTGCCACCCAAATTCCTTCTGTCATAAATATTGTTTGGATGCACTTTCATAAATTGTTTTGAATCCCCTCTAGATTAACAAGTACAGACATACCACACAGCTTTAAGAAAAATGGAAATTATACATCTGTAAGGAATATTCATGTAAAATTGAATACATTTTATTATAGCAATACTAATAAATCGAAATGCACAAAGTATATTTTATGTAGTAAATGTAGGGACCATTACACTATTTGACATTATAGTTTTTTATAGAAAGAGTACACCTAGAGTTAATTCATAGTTTGTACTTGGGCAAACATAGGTAAAAAATTAAAACCCAGAGATACCAGCAGCTTGTGGAAAGGGATTAAAGATGTTACCGTTCAGGCTTTGTAGAATGCACCTGGAGACTTTAAATATATAAATATGAAGTTATTGAGTTGAAAAGTATGAAGTGTTCATTTTTTTTTTTACCTTAAAAGCTATCAGATTTAGTGTTTCAACCCAATGATAATTGGTGTAACAGTGGAAGCACCAGTTAGTAACTAAATTTTGTTTTTAGCTTTTTGCCTTATTTTGGCCAGAAGAAAAGGGAGCCTCAGTTCAGCTTGCCATGCCCTTGGCATCAGTTTTTTCTTGTTGAGGCATTACAGGGTATGCCTATTATGCCAGTGACTCTGAACACTGAGGCAGGAGGAATGGTAGTTCCTGGCCAGCCTCAACAACTTCGCTAGACCTCGTCTCAAAAAGGACTGCTGATGTAGCTCAGTGCTAATGTGCTCCTGGGTCCAATTCCCAGTTCATTTAAAAAAAAAAAAAATGTTGAGTTTGTTTATGTGACTTCATCCTCATCCTCCATGGAGATTCATAAGTTTGACCAAAAGTCATTAGGAATGGAATTCCTTATTGTCTCTGTGCGCTAAAACCAACATGTTAAATAGTCAACAGATAATTCTGAGTGCCCACCGTATTCCAGGCATAATAATCAGAGCCAAATGTTAGAGACTTTGCAGTAAGGCTGAATTACCAGGGGTCATTCAAAAGAAAAATAGGAGGTAAGATCTTTTAGCTCTGCCCTCTGACCGAAAGTACCAAGTTAGGATGACCAAACAAATTAAAAAATGGGCAGGAGAGTTAAGCAACCCTAGGAATTCTGGCAATTGCAAGAGCTTGATTTTAAAACAAAACTCCCAGCTAGCATGTTGTTTTGTGTTTTAAAGGCAAATGGTTTTCATTGTTGAAATTTTTCTTTTCAATGAAGAATCCTGCAAGAGAAATTGGACCAGCCTGTCTCTGCTCCACCATCACCTAGAGATATCTCCATGGAGATTGATTCTCCAGAAAACATGATGCGTCACATCAGGTTTTTAAAGAATGAAGTGGAAAGGCTAAAGAAGCAACTGAGAGCCGCTCAGCTACAGCGTACGTAGCCTTCTGTTTCACTGAGGTGTTTTTTTTTTTTTTTATCTCTTGACTTAATATATTTACCAAATACATGGTATTACTCAATTTACTGGTCATTTTGTATTAATTAAATTCATATTGTATTTATTGCTGAAAGATGTTTTCATAAATGTATCCGTCATCCTGGAATGCATTTTTTAAGTCTTACAGTAGAGGAGAGCAAACAGTTTAAATTACTTCCAGAAGATAATCCAAATAATATCAGAAGTGTCCAGAATCGCAGGTGGTATTTTTTAATCTTTTTCTCCCATGTTTATCTCTCAGTTTGTGCTAACCAAACCTGTGTAGGAGTCTTCAATACACTTATGGAGGCACTTATGTAGCCAGAGAATAGAGGGTTTGCCTTCCTATTAAATTTAGTCTTATCTGACATTTGTTCGTGGTATTTGAAGAATAAATGCATTTGATATTTATACTTAATATTTTGGAAAAGGCCAAGATGTTGCATTGGAAATCAAAGAAACTAGATTTCTGAATACTTAGGTAAACTTGGGTGTATAAAATTCTTTCATACAAATGAATATACTTTTTTGTCCCTTTTGTTTTCTTTTTATGTCTTGCAAGTTTTTTATTCCCCCCCCTCCCCCAGCTAATACTTACAGAGCTGCCTTAGGTCCTTTGATCATACCATAATTTAAGTAGCTCCATCCCAAAGGACTCTTTTTAAGGCCACAACTAAGGAGAACATTTCGGCATACATGTTTGATACCTATGCAAGAACACCTTCAGCGTAGATCCCAGGTGCTTGTGCAGAGTCATACAGAATGTGATTGGAGATTTCAGTGGCTCTTTGTTTCTTCTTGAGGTTCATTTTAAGCTCTAGTCCAGTTCTAGTCCAAACTCCTACACAGGTTTGGTTAGCATCTGGGATGGTGGTGCATCAAGAGCACTCAGGCTCTTTATGAAGTACAGTATATAAGTTTCCTATTTCTGATGGAACAAATCACCCCAGCATAGTAGTCAAAACAACATGTATTACCTAATAACTCTGGAGGCCAGGAGTCTGACGTGGGTCTCACTGGGCTAATATCAGGGTGTTAGCAGGCTGTGCTCCTGTGGGGAGGCTCTAGAGACTGGGGGGATCCTTGGTCTTGCCTTTTCCAACCTGTAGAGGCTGCTGTCTTTCTAGGCTCCAGGCTTTTGTGGAATTTTTTGGAGCTCAAACTCAGGGGAGCTTTACCACCAAACTACTTCCCCAGCTCTCTTAATTAATTAATTAAAAAAATTTTTGAGACAGGATATTTCTAAGTTGCCCAGGCTGGCCTCAAACCTGCAATCCTCCTGTCTTGACCTCCTGAGCAAGTAGAATTACAGGTGAACACCCCCACACTTGGCCCTTGCCTCCCTTTATCAAGGTTCTTATGGTCATGTTGGGCCTACCCTGATGATCTGGGATAATCGCTCCATGTCAAAATCCTTAATCACATTTGCAGTGCTCCTTTTGTCATGAAAAGTAGTAGGATTTATAGGTGTTAGGGTTCAGCATGTGGACACAGACCATCATTCTAACACCACAGAGGTTCTGGACTTACACCAGGGTAGAGCGTGTGGACCACTCAAAAAAAAAAAAATTGTTTTTAAATGTTAAACACAAGTAATTCTGATGTGTATCCCAGGTTTCTATATACTAATTTTTATACACCATGAAAACATGTGAGGTTAATCAAAAATTTCTCGGCTATTATTTGTCTGTTTTTGAGTTTTACTGCGTTGGGTAGACAAATACCTTTGAGCACCTTTCTGAGCTCTTTGCAGTGCTGTCAGTTTGCCACTTTTTTTGCTCTTTTATACTTGCCTTGTTTTGCTCCGAGGAAACTTCTTGGGAAAAAATGTTGAGGAAAGGATTTTTCATTTTTACTTTTTTTCTCCCTGCTACACAATTTGGTCTCTGAAAAGACTGTAGATACCAACGCAGGTATCCATAAGTGCTATTCTGAGCTTATAAGGACAAAAACAGCTGAACCAAAGCAGCAGCAAGTGGCTTTTAGCTGTCTGCAGTTGGTTCTTTTGGGCTTGGAGGATGAGCCATGGCTTTTCCTCACCGTCTGCCTCATCCCTCTTAGATTTGCTGACTTGTACTTCCTATGGGTGCAGATGTGGCATTAGCTCCCACCTGGAAGTCCCACTGCATGTGAACATGATCCTCTTTCTCAATAGTTCTTTGCTCTAACTGAGCATTAGAATCTGCTGGGAGCTTTAATATAACAGTGGCTGGGCCTCTCATGCTCAGGGATTCTGATTTAATTGGCTCAGATGGGGTCTGGGCCTTGGTATTTCCTACCCATCAAATTAGAAGGGAATGCAAAATGTATGGACCAGGTTAGGATCCTTTTTCGGCCTCCTCTTTCAAGTTTGTCTGGAAGTTGTCCTCAGATTGATAGTATTTTTGACTAAATTTTGGGAGGTAGCCAAAGATGGAGGAAATACAAACTGTGGCCCTTGAATACTAGGGAGTGAAGGAAGGTGGGTGACTCTGTAGGGCAAGTAAGCCCAGTAGAGGTGGTACCACCCTCTATGCCTGGGTCCTTGACATCCACCTGGGTTCTTGTCTGTGCCTCTAGCATCTGAGTGAATTGTGGAATTGCCAAGTACTCTTCTAATCCTCCCACGGAGACCCTGTCTCCAAAATGAATGAATGGATGAATAAGCAAGCAAGCAAGCAAGCCTGGGGATGTAGGACCCTACCTCACTTAGGAAATATTCTTATAGATTTTTGTTTCAGTATTGCCCTGCTAATGCCCCAGGTGCTAAATAATTGACATTTTGTTTGAAAGACATGCTTCCTCTTAAATAACTGTTCGGAGAGCCTAATGAGTCTTCAATTCTGGGAGGCTTTTCTGTTTATGTTAGAGAAAGGCAACTTGTTGTGATGGTCACCCTTATGTCTCTAGGAACAGTAAGTAAGCCCAGGGGCCCATCTTGTGCTTCCAGTAGAGCTAAGTGAAAACTTTTGCACACTTTCGTATTTGGGAAGAAAGAAACTGTTCATATTAAAAGTGCACTTTGTAAATATTTTCCCAGCATGCCTTCAATTAAAGAGATTTTTGAGTCTAGATTAGACAGCAGGGTTTCTAGCTAGATTGAAAACAATTGGGGGATTTAGTGTTTAGTCTACATAATAGTGTTTAATAATTTTTTAAAAAATTATAAAATAAGAATGTTGAACTTTTTAACGTTCTGTACTGTTGTGTTCTTGGAAATCATTATACAGTTACCATCATAAGTTATTTGCTAGACCTTCAGAGTTGCTAAACAAATTTCATGGCCATTGGGAATCCAGGTAGGGTCAGATGTGGGAGAGCATCACACAGCATTCAGTTCCTCCCATGTTCTTAAATTTGGACTTGGCCAATAACACAGAGTAGTAACCACTAATAGAAAGCTCTCAGAGACATTCACATAATCCCTGAATTTGCAGCTGTTTTTCAAAGGAGAGAAACATAGACCTAAGTCCATTGACTAAGAAGAAACAAAAAAAGCAAGATAATTGGTAGATACTGAGTTTTATACTAAAATTTTTCTGTTTACTTGGTTACAACAGATTCTATCTCAGGTTAACCAGAAAGTAGAGGAGGAGGGCTTTGCATTTTGTTGAAAAAGTGATATCCTATGAACAGTAACTTCAGAAAGACAAGGGAACTTAGCAGAAGGAGATTCAGGGACCTTATAGTGATGTAATTTCTCATTTCATATCCTGGGGAAAAGGATCTGCCTGGATCATCCTGGGCCCTGTGTATAGCTTGGAGGCTGGGTGTGCTGGGTGTACATCATAAGCAGGACACCAGCCCTAAGGGTGCTGGCAGTTTCCAGACCTGTACTTTCCATCTGACTCATGCTGTACGTCTGTCACAGCAACAGTATCACACACTATATATGAGGCCTATTTCAACTATGAGTCTCAAACTTTCTTGTTTACTGTTAATTTCTGTTTTTTATCAAGAGAATGTTAACTGTTATTGAGCGTTACTAGCACAGTGCTTCTTTGCACACCTCCTTTACCAGGGACAATACTTGTGCTAACAAGTGTGACAGGCCCCAGAGGTGATCTGCAGTGCCTGGAGGAAGCAGCCAAGGTGGTACCTGGAGGGCATCCTGTGGCAGAATTCATTTCCCTAACTGGACTCCCCTGTCTTCCAGATCCAGCAATAGAGAAGCCATTACCTCCAGACTCAGTTACAATTCTATTTCCTCTTCTGCTTAAAGCTCCTTAGAATGCAAAGGAATGGGAATGAAGATGCCCACCTCCCAGCACTGCCTTTTGTATTTTTTTCTAAATGTAAATCAGTGATAAATTTTGATGCTTGCAATAAACTTCAAATTCAGATCTCTTCTGTATGCATGAGAGTGAGAAAGACTGTCTCAGAGTAATTGCTCTCTCTGCGGTGTAGGAGCTGACCTGGAGTCTCTTTTTTTTTTTTTTAAGATTTGGCTACTAATTGTGTGAAATGTGGTTTAATTGAGAACTCTGGCTTTGCAGATTCAGAGAAAATGGCCCAGTATCTGGAGGAGGAACGTCACATGAGGGAAGAGAACTTGCGGCTGCAGAGGAAGCTGCAGAGGGAAATGGAGAGAAGAGAAGCCCTCTGTCGACAGCTCTCCGAGAGCGAGTCCAGCTTAGAAATGGATGATGAAAGGTATGGGTTTGTCCTGCGTCATCAGATTTAAAACAAACAAACAAAACCAAGAGAGGTCTGAAGAAAGGACTTGTCTTTGTATCCTATTAGATATGGTGACCTTAGATGGCTTAAATGCACATCTAATTCACATCAAGGGGGTAACAGTGAGGACGAATGCCACCCCATTAAAATAGATGTGCAGAATGGATGAATGCAGGAGCTTGGACACTTTCCTTAAAAAGAAAAAAATTCCATTTAAAGATATTTGGTGGGGGGAAGAAATGGAAGCAGAGTTTGCCTTTGTTGTTGATTGTGTTAAAGCTGTGTAAAGCTTAAGCCCAGCTAAATTCCCATTGAAGGATAAGCAAGCTATAGTGTAGCCCAAGGAAACAAATGTTTCCTGTAGGTTGAAGGAGAGATAGATGTAAATGGCTATTTCAAGGACTTGCCATAGCACAGTGGATAACTTCTGAGCCTTTTTGATGGTACTTTTAAAAATAAAACTGAAGTATTTTTTTTGTTTTGTTTTTTTCCATCTGCAGGGGGCTATTCATTGAACCTCCTCACTGTCTCACTAGGAATGGGCTAAACTGAGGGAGTCATCCATTGGTTTATTAGAGGAAATGGTCTGAGCTTTTGTCTCTCTTTTCTACCTCCTCCTCTGAACTTCAGACGATAAGCAATAGATCTAAATTGAAATACAAAACAAGAACCCTCTAGGTAGGAGATTAGCTTTTCTCTGAACCAGATCATTTCCGTGAGGAAATTTTGTGCAAGGAAATTCCCTGGATCAGGGTTCTGTGAGCTAGGATCACATCTCGGTGTGAGAGGTGAGACCGAGCCTCTTTGGTGGCCCCTCCAACTCGACTGAGCAGTCAGTGTATGATTATCTGGTGTCTGAGGAGTGGCAGTAATGATGACAAAGTTGGTGAGTTCAAAGCCAGCCTCAGCAGAAGTGAGGCATTAAGCCACATGTATGGACCCTAAGCCACATGAGCCATAGATCCAGGGGGCTGCCAAAGCTTTTGATCTATTTCCTGTGGACAATTTCAAGAAAAATGTTAAGATTTTCTGTGATAGGAGTCTAGAAATGAGAAAAAAAGACATTTATAAAAAGTAGGTTATCCCATTTAAAATCTTTTGTTCTCATTTGAAAAGAATAAACATTATTTCTGGAAAGTTTATATTACAAAAACTGTCATCTTTAATTCTAAATTTTACTGATACATTTCTGGCATTTCCCCATTTTCTTTTTCCCTAAAAATCCTCTGGAATCCTGAGGATCTTTTGACTAATAATGTCATCTAGAATACCAAACATCTTATTAACTACTTTATTAACTACCTTGATTCTCAGACCATGTTACCCTACACAGCATCCTGTACCCAATTTTGGATAAGACATACTCTAGGGACAGTTTCTTCTGAGTGTGGTGACAGTACTGAAGTTACTTCCAACTTCCAGATGAATATTTTTTCCCAGAACAGATATTTGCTCCAGAAAGTCTGCTTTACCTTTTGTAGGTCAAGTTGCCCCAGCCATAGTATAGCTGCCCAATAAGTACTTCTCTGCATTCTAGAAATGATGATCTCACATTTGGGAGAAAGAAAATCCTGACACTTCAGACCACAAGAGGTGTGGTGACTGCCTACCTGGATGTAGAATACAAAGAGAGGTCTTTCCCAGTGTCACTATGGTGAGCTGCACTAAAGAGGAAGAATAAGTGGTGGCTATGTAATTAAAATACTTGTGAAATCAAGGAGCCTGATTTTGTTCAAGTCCCATAAATGTGCTTAGAAGTGGCCGCCTCAGTTTCTCCTGTGAACTGACTGAATATCAAGGCTGAGATCTTCCTTGGGTTAAAGGTACACACACACATGGCTGCAAGCCCATGAAGTTTATCAAAAAGTTTCTCAAGCAGAAATTTTCCCTCTTGAGCACTTTGTGATTTCACTTTCACATAGTGAAAGTTGATATTCCTCACCATCACATTTCAGCATTCTCATGTCTGATGTGACTTTAGAATCTAGGAAGTCACACTCAGCAAAGTGTGGCTTTGCATGACCAGTTGAAGGAGCTTGGTACTCATGTCCTCTGATCTATTTTAATGTGTAGCCATGTTTTAAACATGGCTTGCCTCATAAAGAGGCGATATTCAGTTCTTTGGCATATGTATCTTTAATCTTTAATTTGATGACATAAACTTTGGACCTTCCTTGGTTTTGAGTTTCAAATTGCAATTCAGACATAGCCATTAAGCTAGGAACAGTGGCATATGCCTGTAATTCCAGTGACTAAGGAGGCTGAGGCAGGAGGTTTACAAGTTTTGAAGCCAGCCTCAGCAACTTAGCAAGATCCTGTCTCAATTTAAAAAGAGCTGGAGATGTGAGATGTAACTCAGCAGTAAAGGGCCTCGGAGCCAGGCACATGGTGCATGCCTATAATCCCAGTGGCTCGGGAGGCTGAGAAAGGAGGATTGCAAGTTCAAAGCCTGCCTCAGCAAAAGTGAGGCATTAAACAACTCAGTGAGATCCTGACTCTAAATAAAATACAAAAAATAGGGGTGGAGATGTGGCTTAGTGGTTGAGTGTCCCTGAGTACAATCTCCGGTACTGAAAAAAAGGGAAAAAAATGTCACACACCCAACCATTAAAACATGGATGGATTTTTATTTCTTGGGACAGAAGAGGAGAATTTTTGCATAGCCCTTGTGTATCATGTGACTCTGTAACCAGGCCTCCATCTTAAGAAGTCATCCTGAATTCCCTTCCCTTCGCCCTTGCAGAGAGAGGTTTACCAACAGTGGAGCAGTGTGACTTGGGAGTCCATCTTATAAATGTCTCCTAGCTACATTATTACTCTGAACATTCCAGATTTTGACTTCAATGTGATTTCCAAACACTTTCTCATAGAAGCTCTCTTAAGAGTGATTTAAATGCAGTTCTAATCATTTCCTCTTCTCTCTTCTTAGGTATTTTAACGAGATGTCTGCACAAGGATTAAGACCTCGCACTGTGTCCAGCCCAATCCCTTACACACCTTCTCCAAGTTCAAGTAGGCCTATATCACCCGGTGAGTATATGTCTTCACTATCTCAATGAATGATTTCTGGTTTAATAGACAACCCTGATGATATTCTCTTCTAGCATATAAAAATCGAGTAAACAGAGATAACAGATAACAGTCGTGTGTTGTTCGAAAATATCAAAAACATGCTACTATCAAGACTGATCTTAACTTGAAAATTTTAAGCACAAAAGCTGTAGTGACAGCTGGTATTTTTCTTCAAATTTTTTTCAACCTTAGAGGAATTGGACTCTGAAATATCTTTTAAAATGAAGACTGTTAAGAAGAACAAGACTGTCTTTGACTATGATGTTAAATCTCAGTGGATGGACAGAATTCCTGGGTAGATTTCCAAGATGCCTTATAATATATCTTCTTTGGGTTCCTTTACTGTGTTCCAAATACATTATCTCATTTTTATTCTCAGTATAATAAATAATGTAAGAATTATTTTTCCTGTGTTACACGAGGGGAAGCAGCCATCAGGAGGTTCCCCACCTACGGGTCACAGATCCAGTAAGACAGAAGGCAGGGCACAGCTGTTTCCACAGCCTGTGTTCTGCTTAGCAGGAGCTGCCTCCTAATGTTTCCCAAGATTCGAGACTGGGACTGGGCCCCAGTAGGCTGACCATACGAGAAGCAGTGGACTTGGGTCTGGCGGGTTGCTTTGGCTTTGTTCTTATTTCTTGGGACAGAAGAGGGAGACTTTGCTCCAAGGCAGGCTTGTTTCATCTGAACCTGAAAGCACCCTCCCTAGGGCATCTGGCTCAGCACCAGCACTGCGTGGGGCTTTTGGGCCAGGAGGACAAGTGAATCCAGCAAGAGAGGAAGAAGAGGAAGGAGAGGAGGGGGCAGGAGGCAGGTGGAAGAGGGGGAGGAAAGACAGGTGGCAGCTAAGGAATTGCAGCTTGTGGCTGAAATGATGAGACCGTTGTTCTTGTGGTTGTTATAAGCATGTTTTAAACAGAACTGGAAGAAAGAGTATATGGAGTCCGGGAGGGGGATGGAGGAGGAGTTTCACAGTGGAATCCAGTGAGGTGACTGCTTTCTAGTGGAGCAGTGTAAAGGTTTTGTACAAACACTTTTCATGTAGGGCAACAGCGTTTCACGTATTCTGATATGATAATTAAAGTGAAGGACCCCTCCTCTTAAGGATGATGGGATGGGAAATGGTGCTGTAATTCCATTGGCCATCAATAAGAACATGAGAAAGGAATGGCTTGGTTTTGTGATTTGGGGGATCCAGCCCAGCACTGGGCTGCTGAGACTTTTTTTAAGTGGAGAAAATCAAAAGATGAAATACGTAACACATAAAGTGGCAGCTTGTGTATATTTGGGGCCAGCATGTTGTCACAGACCGAAAGGACTTTAACTTATGGATAATGGCATGGTCATTGCCCTCTGTTCTTGCCAAGAGGATATTCCTGAATCTGTTTCTCCATCTCTCCAGTAGCCTGAGGTCTCCCTCCAAAGGCTTCTTCTCTTCCTGTTTGCTTCTCTGTTTTCCCAAAATAGCTCTTGGTTGCATTACCATGAAAAGGTCTTTTTTTTTTTTTTTTTTAAATCTACTGATTTATTGATGTTTTTACATGAATCAGGAAGGCATGAATCAGGTAGAGGCAAAATGGAAGGCTACTTTGTAGTTGATGGCGATGCTGATTCTTAGTATGATTAATATCCTGTTAGAGTTATTTAAACCTGAAGAAATTTTTGGAAGTACGTAATTTTCAGTTGATTAAAAAAAAATGTTGCAGTCACTGAAAAAAGTAAAATCCAAATGTCATATCTTGGTTTAGAATATTACTTATATTATAACACATACTCTTTAGGAAAATTTATCCCATCTGCATGATTTTGACTTTGTCTGCTCCTGTTCCAGTAGTGTGTCCTACATCAAGTGTGGGGTTAGCTTGTATAGATTAGCTGTTTTTCCCTTAAACTATGTAATAAATGACATCTAGGTTTGTTTTTCAGATATCCTAAATGAGAAAGTTTTTATCCTATTTTAAGTTATAACCTCAAAGTAGGCTTTATCTCCTATTTGGTAGTAAGATTACTTCATTTTCATGTGACAGTGTTGCAATGCTATACATAGTAGATCAGCAAAATATGAATATTACAATCTTATTTCATTTTATTTTTTCTTAAAGCATTATAATTGTACATAGTATTTGGGTTCCTTGTTATAAAATGATATATGCAAGGAATTTTGTTTCAATCCCCATTTTCCTTCTTCCCTTTTCTTCTCCTTCTCCCAGTATCTCTCTTTTCCTCTATTGATCTTTCTTTTCCTCCTTTATATAGTTATTTTTGATTGGTATTTTCTATATATACATTCAGGTGAAATTTTTAAGATACATTTATATATGTATATAATATGATTTTTTTAAATTCCATATTTCTATTCCTTTCCCTTGTTTCTTTCCTCCCTCTCTTTTTCCTCTTCCTACTCCACTGGTATTCCCTATGTCTTTATGATATCCTGTGCCCTCCCTTGCCACCTCTTTTATTTTGCTCTAGTTTCCCCATGAGACAAAACATTTAGCTTTTGATTTTCTTTTCTTTTTTTAAAAAATATTTATTTTTTAGGTATAGATGGGTACAACACAGTGCCTTTATTTATTTTTTTTTATGTGGTGCTGAGGCTCGAACCTGGGTCCCACCTGTGCTAGGTGAATGCTCTACCACTGAGCCACAATCCCAGCCCCTAGCTTTTGATTTTCTGAATCTGTCTTATTTCACTTAGCATGATTTTCTCCCATTCCATCCATTTATCAGCAAAAGCTATTATTTCAGTCTTCTTTATGGCTGAGTAATACTCGTTCTGTATATATGCCACACTTTTTGGTTGCTTTCATGGGCATTTGTGTTGACTCCACAATTTGTCTATTGTAAATTGTATTAATATGAATATTGAAGTAGCTGTATCACTATAGAATGCTGATTTCATTTCTTTTGGATAAATATTGAGGAGTAGGATAGCAGGGTCATATGGTAGTTCTAGTCCTAGTTTTTTGAGGAATCTCATGCTGCTTTCCATAGTGATTGTACTAATTTGCAGTCCTACCACAATGTATGAATGTACCTTTTTCCCCATATCCTTGCCAGCATTTATTCTTGTGTTCCTGATAATTGCCATTCTGACTGGAGATGAAATCTTAGTGTGGTTTTGATTTGCATGTCCCTTATTGTTAGAGATGTTGAACATTTTTTTCATATATTTGTTGGCCATTTGTATTTCTCTTTTAGAGAAATTTCTATTCCTTTTTTCTAATTTCTCTTAATTCCACCATTTCCCATTTGTAATCTATTTTTTTTTTTTTTGCGGGGGTGGGGGGAGATGGTGGTTCTAGATTGAACCCAGGGCCTTGTGCATGCTAGGCAAGAACTCTACCAACTGAGCTATATCCCCAGCTCTTTCATATATTTGTTGGCCATTTGTATTTCTCTTT